ATTAGGAAGCCACAATGCTCTGGTAGATCTCCAAGGGAATTTGAAGCTAGTTGGCTCCACACCATCAACCAGCTGGCAGCTTCCAACACTCTCCGATGGGCCCAGTGCAGCTAGCTGTGCTTTATGCTTCTATTCAGTCTTGCCAGAGGTCTCCACCCCTAAACAGACTCAGCTTCCACAATTAGGGTGCCCTCCCAGTGAATTAGTTACGGAATGTATTAGGTCCCAAAGGCCTCGTGGAGCTATTTACACCTCTTTGGACTATTTCCAGGACGCAGGGTTCCGCTGCACATTTAAATGAATGACGTCTCACAGTCCAATGGCCTTGACTAGAACATGCAACGAGGCCCTATCTTATGCCCCACGTTCCAATTCCTAATGATTTTACCACCCTGAAAGGTAAATTATCTGTTTTTCAAATTATTCTTTAAAAGGGATTTCTCTTCTCTCCCATTCCTGAGTGTGCTTCTACTCCTCAAGTGCAAAAAGCGAGGACTCTCAGCTGTGAAGTCATTTAGGACTTTAATTGCCTTCAACTGGCCAAGTTATAAATATCATCCAACACCTATATCGTGACTGCCTTTTCTTAAAATAATAAACTGGTTTCGCCAAATGAGATGCAAAACAAATGAAGTCAACCTGCGTACTTACCAGTTAGAAGCATACAGTTAGCAGGTGATACGGGGGGCGGGGGGGGGGGACCCAAAATACCAAAAAGGCCACTTGGCTGACAAGATTGGTTACAGATTATGTGCTCTGGAAAAGCTAAAACGTCAATACTAATTTCACTTTTTGCCAATGCTTCCATTATATACTCTGAGAATCTCAACGTGCAGTTGGTGCCTTTCTTCTCCAACACGGCTCTCTATCCTGAGAGGTCTTTTCTTTCTGGGCCTCCTCTCTTACTGTCACAGGGCCCTGCCTTCGTGAGTTTCAGCTGCCTACTGCTGCCTAACAACACAGCACTGACACATAGGTCCTTGATAAATGTTTGTATAATGAACTTGGAAGCTGATCAAGGAGTTCTATTATGTCTGAGGAAATAATACAAGTCTACAGAATCAAGAAAAGACTTACACAAGATGTGATTAGGAAAATGCCAATTATGATAGTTAGCCTTTGATGGTTACTTTATATTTACTCGACTCTCTTCTAAATTTAAAGATATAATCTCATATTAACTTAGTTTAATCATCACAAGACCAGGCATCATGGCATCCATATTACAGGTGAATGAGTAAATTGACAGTTTGCAAAGTAACATATCTGTTGTCATATCATTGCTGAATATGTTTTACTGAAATTAATATTATGCCTGCACTATACCAAAACAAATGCCCTCTTTTTGTCTCTTCCAGTCTGATCCTCCACTATTTCATCTGCAAAGTATGGAAAATTTGACAGTCAATAAGTTCTATTCAAGCTTTTTCAGATATCTCAGATATCAGGTGATACATATCTAATTCAGAGTTGGATTAGTTTTTCTGGTTGATTATACTTCTGAAAGAGATAAAGGGATAGTTCTTCAAAAACTATTAACATTTAGTAGGCCTGAAAGAAAAGAGGACAGAGATATTGAAAGGGCTCTCACCTCATTACAGCATCAGAAACACCTTAAGCTAGAGGTAGAATTGTCTTTTTTACAGCTGTTAATGTTTTACAGTAGTTAACATATGGCGCTTCAGGTAACTATAACCAACATTTACAGCTACTGCCTACATGGCGATCTCAAACAATCCCAAGAAATAGTGCTTCGATTACCCCCAGCTAACAGACAAGGAAACAGTTTAACTTGTGAAAGTTCACACAGCCCATATATAGTGGAAACTGAACTCAAATTCAGATGATTTCAAGTCTAAAGCCCATAATTTTAACTTGGAACTTTGTACACTCGTTCTAGCTATGTGTGTTTTTATATTTATTTAATATTGTTTCTGTATCGTTTTGTCACTGCTTTTGAAATAAAATCCACAGGATATAGATCAGAATTCTGCTTAGTTTGCTTACTAACACACACACCCTAGTGCCGCTGGTCTGGATACGTGAGACTTAGCAAGTGTTCTTGATGCATGACTTCCAGTGCAATTAAATACGTTTGGTTGGATCACTCTTAGTCACATGCTTATAAGTTATAAACTCTAGATACCTCTTCTTGTAGATATTCCTTTCAGTCAAAAGTACGTAGTCTAACTGACAATCAGAACCAATGTGGCACTAAGAGATGTGCAAGCACTGATCCAAGCAACTCTCCATCAGGAAAACAACTGGCTGCACGCAACAAGTCCTCCCTGAGTAAACGTGCTCCACAATCCATCCTGTATTTATTACAAAAGATTATTGACACTTTCAAAAGGTAAAATTGTAGGCATTCTGGTAGCAAATTAAATTTTATATTTAAAGAAACTGACGTTAAATGTCCCTCTCAACACCAAAGTAGCCTAATCGAATTTTATCTTACCCCGCACACTATTCCTAATCTAGATGCAGAGAAGAGGCAAAAAATTCACTCTTCTGTTTTTATCTTCTAAAAGAAATCACCTCTAAATTAGACTACACAGGCAGGGTAAATATCCTTTTGGATACTTTAGTCCTTGGAGAGAGGAGGATACATTGGAAGGCATAGTTTTTTTTTTATCAAATAAGTATTCATTTTATTTTGCCCAAGTACACATTTCATAAGAGTAACATTAATAAGGTATGTAATTTTTCTTAAACCAAATTCTTCACAATGAAGTCCAACTGCAATATTAATTTAGAAATTTGATAATGCTCTCTTGTGTGAGTTTTAGGAATATTTGAAACCCCATTGCATATAAATTATATCATGGAATAGCTGTATAAATATTCTATTATGGCACTGGCTGTTCTAAGGATCTGTCAGGATTTCCTTTATACACTCCATTTTGAGTGGTATATAAATCAGATGTAAAAATTCATGTTGGACTGAAATGCAGCACAGAAAGCTCCTCCAGAGGCTCACGCTTTTTTCAAAATGTGGTTTGAATTATGTTGGTCATTTTTAAGTTATACAAGTGCAGAAAATGTATTTGTGGTTTTGAAGGAGAGAAATTTTTTCCATTTTTGTAACTCATTAGGAAACTTTACAGGCCTTTAGACCATTTTTGTGGTTTAGTTCTTCTCAGGTTTTTCCCCAAAGCAATATTAAAACTTGAATGGTGTCTGCTGTGAATCCAATGATTACAGCTCTGAATACAAATGTGTGTGTGGGTATATATATAATAGTCATAGTCTTCAGCCAGTACAAGTTCCAATAACATTGGGATGGAGAGAGATTAGGCCCATCAGGGCCCCACTCTGGCTCTTACTATCAAGTTAAGTTTGGTCTATCAAAGAACCCTCTTACCTAAATCATAGCTAAGCATACGTTGCGTGTAATTTTAAAGCTGTGCCTTTGACTTGCAGAAAAATCCATTGCTGCTTTTATGAAGTCTTTACCAACACACAATCTTGCTTTTTCTAGATTCTGTTTGCTATAACATGTAGCAAGTGGCAAGATGGTTGTAGATATTCACCGACAAGGTTTTCATTTGAAATACTTTTTAGGTTACGGAATTATGTGGATAAATTCGTTTGTCGAATAAAGTTGAAGCTATTTTGGCTGTGTACTAATATGTTGCTGAGCAATTTCATATGTCAGCGTATGTGGAAATTGTGATTATGCTATTTCTCTTAATAACTGCAGTTAAAATCTGAGATAGTTTTGATGTAAATCAAGAAAGCTAACATGACTCACACAATCAATTAAGCTAATCTTTCAAACGTCTTTAATGGAAAAAGAAACAGACATTTGCTTGAATTGCTTCTACCTATGCTATATGTAGTTCATTCGTGTGTTCATGAAACACATTTAATAGTAATTATTTATTGTCTTATGCACTAAAGCATAAAGAGGTTAAAATGACCCATTGTTATGTCTTATATTATTTGTTAAATATCGCTTGCAGAGTTACAGTCTGGGTGTCTTGATTCTTAATACAGTTCTTTTTCATTATTTTACACTATTTCTGGTGTAGTTACTAAAATCCCTGGGTTTAGGGACAATTAGGATGGACCACTCAAAGGACAATCCAACATTTGCCCCTGGCTGGTTCTGCACTGGGCCTTTCCCTGTGGGACACTCTGAGGAACAAAAGAATTCTAACTCTCCCTGAACACTTTATGCACTAACCTGATGTCATGGAAATTAGCCAACTCTTCACTATAGAGAAAGGTGAATGCCAATTTTCTTTATTTTTCACATTAGCAGGAGAGCAGGGTTACTAATGAGGAGTCGTATCCCAAACCTCCAATCTATGGAGTTGAATATATGTACGTCTATCTGGGTCATTTTTTTTATTCTGCTCCATTTAATTTTACTAAATTATATTAAATTGTGCTCTACCGCACTACATTTGAATTTTTGTGTAATTCATATATCACACATATTTCTGTTCCTTTAAGGTCATATGACCTTTGATTCAACTTAAGATGTAACACTGCAAACATTCCTGGTAGATCAGCATCAGTTACTAAGAAGTTTCCTGCAGGTATTATGGGAAATCCAACCAATTTCTAAGAACTAGGTATACATAACAATAAGATCTTATAAAATTGTCAAAAATATTTTGAAGTATAAACCGTTAAAGATTTTAGAAATAGAGCTTAAATGTCAGAACAGATTCAATAGGTGAGGAATTATGCTTGAAACTAAGCAATTTATAATTCATGAGGCCAAAAATGTATCGATTGTATTTCCCCACCATCCAATGCATTGCACTCATAATTTTTCTCACTTTTGCAGAAGAGATAACGCAGTTTCACAATTTGCATAGCATTGACCTTGTTAAAGCCTGACACCATTGTTTTTGACATAGTTTTTGACATGATAAGCAGTACAATTTTAAATAGAATGACTATTTTTTACAGGATGTGAAGTAAAGAATGCCCAATGAAAAACTTTTCAGATTATAAATAGTAAAGAATATAAGCAATAGACTCACCTTGGTTTTATCTTTAAGCAACCTTTTATTTGTTTATTTGGAACTTCTTCAAGTGGTTTTGCTGGGTCCGGCTCAGGTTCCTTCTTTTGACAAACCAATACATAATTTGTGCCATTATTATTTGACCAAAATGTACCAGCAGAAGTTTCATAGCGTATACAAAACTCAACTTTACTTCCATCTTTTTGATAAGGAGGGACCAGAGAAATCTTGAAAGAGAACTGATCAGTTTCACCATCACACGAGTTAGGAACGTATTCTGCCAAAATGTCATAATGTGTTTGCCAATCATCTAACGACATTCTCACATAGACTAGCTTCTCAAAAGAAACATTCAAAACGCGAATAATCCCCTTCATGCTGGTACAACCTGGTACAAACTCAGTTGACTCCAGTATCGCTTTCTGCTCTTGAAGCTGTTGCATAAGAGCTTCTTTGGAACAAGGTAAGTCAAAGAGTGGAGATAAGACATATTCTTCTGCCTGAAAAACATCCTTTCTTAGCTCAAAGGTGGGGGAGACGCTCGGTAAGTCCCAGCTATCAAATTCTTTAACAGACACGAGGTTGAATCCAAAACTATCAGCAAAGGAAACTCTTCTGCTCCCTGAAGTTGGGGTGTCCAGGTAGACCTCCTCAGAAGACTCAGAACCTCGTCGGCTGGGTTGTGGGGAGAAGCCAGGTTTGAAAGTAGCTTTAACTTCTTCATCTTCACAAAAAGATTCGGACAAACTGGGAACTTCTAAAAAATTATCTTTGCTAATCTGAGCAGGTACTTCAGAAGGCTCCATTGGGCTCTCTGATATCAAATAAGGGAGAACTGTACAACTAGCAGAGGCTGATATTTGAGATACTGAGGCTTAAGCTGAGTCTAATGTTACAGTTGACTTTGCAAAAAAGAGTCAGCTCTATAAATAGGTCCGCTGGCGTGTAAACTATGCTAGCTTGCCTCCAAAGGCCTTTAATATGATAGCGTCCGTGCTCCTCTCGCCAGTATGCTTCAGATTTAACTCTCAGTTTTTAAAGTCGTGTTTGTTTATGAGCCGAGTTCCAAAAAGGTATTTTCCAACCACTTTTTTTTTTCTGCTACAAATCCTGAACTTTAGACTGAAAACATTATTTTAATGTTTATTGTGAATATTTTACACTTGTTTCTGAAAGACCAAAAAGTCACACACGATATTTAGTATATAGTTTCAGCTAAATCAGTTCTGGGAGGAGTAAAATATTCACTTAGAATAGTATTTTAATCTTTGGCTAACTGCTATATGCTTACGAATCACAGATCTCTTGTGGATTGTAGAGCCTGTTTAAATTCTTCCATGTTTTATGTATCAGCTCACAGCAATTTGGTTAAAGCTTCTACAAAATTATAAATGAAAAAGCTTGAAACCACTCAATTATTCAGCAAAAATACACAGATACACATGCATGGTGATGACTCCAAAGGTTTTCATACACGTGATCAAAACTGTCTTTTAACTTTAAAACAATTTTTTATTGGTTTCTTTAGCCCTGGAAGGCACTATGTTTGCATCTAAGTTTGCAAAGATAAATATAAGATATAGGATTTGTCCTCACCTTTTGGAGAGGTGGGTAGCAATAAGCACTGTCCATTGAGGAGTATCCCACTTCTTTTCCCTTCCAGCCTTACTGCTGAATTACAAAATCGTGAGATGATGCCCATCAATCTGACTTCATAGATTGTTCTTGCATGTTCCCATCATTATGTGAGAACTAGACAGCTGTTTTAAAGGCAGATTTTTACACAATGTTTTATCAGTAACCAGGATCCATCTCTCCCTATTATAAAGAGCTGTAGATCACAAATTCTGCAAAAACATATTTACCCTTGTAGCTACTATTTTGTTAATCACATTAAGTTTTCAGTAGCAGAAACTCCATGTTAGAAGCCTGGCCAATAACCCACTGCTGACTTCTCACCCGACCCTGTCACTCAAAGAGTGGTTTCATCAAAGAGTTAGTGGTCCACATCAGAGTGCAGCATCCTTTGGTAAGCTATAGTTTGGAATCACTGATTATTCCAAATAAGAAAAGTCAAAGTTTTTTTTTTTAATTTACATTCAGTGAATTTTCAAAAAAGTATTTTCACTGTTAATCTATCCTTCAAAATTATAACGTTCAATAAATTTTAGACAATGTTGGTGTGGATTCAGTTTTGGACACACTTGTGTTTTCACTTTGATTCATGGGTTTCAAATGTCCTCAGTAGGGGAACATTTCATAACACATAATTTTAAGGACAAAGCAGACATATTTCAAATGACTGCTCTTTTTTTTTTTTTTTTGATTGTTTGATCTCGGGCATTTTACAAATGGAATCCTATAGCACTTAACTCATCTACCTGTTGTGAGAACTAAGCTCCAGCATGCATCCAGCTGTTGTCAATAGTGACAAATAAAAGCACTAAAAAAATGTGTCTTTCTACGTTACCAAAAACACAGCTGTGGAGTTTGATAACAGTGGAAATGAAAGAATCCTGCTTCTTTTATTGATTATCTGAGGGGCCTGAGGCAGTTACTTTGTCTCCATGTGTTTTTATTTCCCCATCTGTGAACTAGGACTGGTAGGAATTCCTAGCTGTAAGTAGGATTATAAGGATCAATTGAGTTAATTTGTGAAAAGCTTTGAAAGAATGAGGGTTTTAATGCAGCTCAAATTATGATGATCAAAATTTTACAAAGAAGAAGCAAATGTTTAGTGCCATTGTCAAGTTGCCACTTGAGATGCCAGATGCCTGGGTCAACTGTGACCTCTGCTTCTGATCCAGCTTCCTGCTAAAACACACTCTTAGAGCCAGCAGGCAGTGGCCCAAAGTATTGGGTCTCTTCCTATCACCTGGAGACCCCCATTAACTTCCTAGCTCCTCGCTCTGGTCTGGTCCAGCTATGGCTATTGCAGGCATTTGAAGAGTGAATGGTGTGTGGAAGATTTCAGTCTGTGTTCCGACCAGCAGAGCCAGTAATGTGGGACAGGAGACCAGTGATGGTGGAAGTCTCTGCAAAGTCTCCCTTTATTGCTCCTTCACCTCTCCTTATATACTCTTCCCCCACATCCTCATTTAGCAGGGTATTGGATACAGATGAGTCCAATTAGTCTAGGTGTTTTCAGCCGCAAACAGGCACTAATCAACTCCTTAGCCCACAACAAGTCTGTCTCTGTTACTTTGCCTTTGAAATAAATGCAGATAAATAAACACATGAATTAAAATGCACAAGGGAAAGATAATTTTCAATCACATCTGGTGTAGCAATTATTATTTTTTGTGTATTTTATGAAAAAATCTATGAGAAGAAAATATCTGTTGCATCTGCAAATATATTCTCACATTTTCCACATTACATACATGGAAGGAAGGATGAATGAGTGAATGAATGAGTGGTAGGTAGAATGAGTGAATTTAACATACGTCCTCGTCTTCCTGGTGTTCTCTTAATGATATGTTTTATTACTATTTCTGCAATTCCACAATTTAGTAAAAATGCATTCATATGGTTCTGAAGTAGTTAATAAATCATCACAAAGTGAGTTATTTAAGTGTGATGAATGTAACAGCTCTCCATCTGCCATACTGTTTTATTATTGAACAGCACAACTATGCTTTGTTCCGGTCAGACATTTTCCATAGGAGACAAAGTAAATACTAATGTTTGTCATTGATAATCCTCTATGATGTATATTTCAAATTAAGGGCAAAGAAAAAAATTGCATTTGTTTATTCTTTTGGATTACGTTACTCACATATCATTTTATTTTATTCTCTCTGAAACATTTTCATTCTCCCCTACTCCACGTTAGGACATCCTCATGGTCACTGAAGTTTATAAATAATACTGGATGAAACAACATGCGACATGAAATAAAAATTTATTTGGGAAAACTAAGAGATTGTGAGATCTTATTATAGAATCATGCATACATAACCAGCATGAAGAAATAACATTTTTCCCTCAATTTGTGTATGGAGTAGTTGAGTAGCTATTGTGGCCCTTCTGTCATGTGAGTTATTTAAATTGAGGGGAAAAAAATTCAACCATTACTATGAGTTATTAGGCAAGTGGCTAGCAGTTTTAAAAGATGAATGTTTAATATCCATGTAACGACTTTAAAGAAGCAATTGAATTTGCCATGCAAGGTAAAATGCCTAATAAGGTTAAACAATCAGTACCATATTTTTGTTTCCTTTGATTATCTTATCAGGCTTGTAATCTGGTATTGAAATCTATGGGGTTTGTGAAAAGAAAACAATATGAAATTCATGAAAACTGTTATTTGTATGCCATTTATGTATCATTTATTTTATCATGAAGAATATATAAAAATTATATCTTAGTTTCCACAAAATTAAAAAATCTACAAATGGTTATTTTTATTGATCTTTGCAAATAATTATTTGATAACAAAAAATTGATTTGTGAATTAAATATAAAATATACACCAGTCTATACTGTTTATCCCAAACTGAATCAGCATTTATTATAAAAAAAAATGTACTTTATTTAGAATGAAAAACACATAATGTTTTTGTGAGTAAATATACACACTGCATATTTAACGTGAATATTTAGGTTATAAATAACTAGAGCTTGCTCAATATTTCATGAGGCACTTTGCAGTAGGGCGAATAGATACATTCAGAATCATCCTAAATTTTCCCATGGCAGTTCATGGAGACATTGTCTCTAGTTTATTTTAAGCTTTTCTTTAACAACAAAATGTTTTTAAATGAAAATAAAACAAGAGACAGTCTTGTTTATCGCTGTGTCTTAGTCACAAATATGTTTAAATGCTATACTATAACGTGGTCAAAAAAGAGAAGCGGGGGATAGATTTTTTTCAAGTGGAATCAGTTTGAAAGTTTAAATTATTTTCTGACTCTTGGAACAGAATATTACAAGCTATACCCCGTTTGGGAGTCTATATGATATGGCACCATACAGTAACATTATATATAGTCTTAGAGTTGAAAAGCTTCTTGGAAGGGACCTGGCACAATGACTCAGTGGTTAGATCCTTGCCTTGAAAGCACCAGGATCCCGTGTAGGTGCTGATTTGTATCCTTGCCGCTCCACTTTCAATAGAGCTCCCTGATTGGAGCCTGGGAAAGCAGCAGAAGATGTCAGAAAAGAGTAAAAGCATTTTGTTGCATAAAGATATCCAACCTACCCTGTTTTCTTTATGGACAATTTTGCCCCTTCTCTCCACATTGTGTCATCACCTTTATAATCAACTTAGTGACCATTTGTATCGGGGCCTGCCTCTGCACTTTGTAATTTAGAAAATTGATCTCTCTCACTTTAAAACAATTATTTATTGTCATTTTGGGTGGAATACAGATTGAGACATAATTGAACCAAGAGGCTCACTCCCTTAAATGCCCACAGAAGTCAAAGCCGGGCCAGGCTAAAGCCAGGAGTCAAGAATTTCATCTGGGTCTCTCACATGACGGGAATTAAAATACTTGACTCTCCATTTACTCACAATGCAGTGTGCAGGAACAGGAAGCTGAAACCAGAAGGCAACAAGGATGACGACAAGGTAGATTCCTCAGCTCGGTTTTACCACGGTGATATATAATCTCTTCTCTGTTAATCCTCACTTCCTCTCCTGAAATATTTTAGAGAATGTTTTTTAGCTTTTCAATGATCTCTTAACAGGTGATAATCGACTAAGCAGATCACAAAGAAGGTCCCATATAGAAGCAAACACCCATTTATTTCATGAACTTTTCAAAAACAAAGAACATTGAAGTAGAACACACCAACATTA